TCTCATTTATTTGCATGACAAGCTTGCCACGCACTCAAAGTAGACAAATTGAACTTGTAAGATGGGAAAAGTGACGAACGGAAATGAGAGAAAATGCAATCCATAAGTCTAAAATGTAGAAATTCTATTTCAGTACTATTCATTATTCTGGCCACAAATTGTGAAAGAGAAACGTCTTTGAAATATAGAAAATCAGAAATCTATATATCCCAAGACAAGTATAAACATAATTAAGCCATAACATTGACAAATGAAGAAATGACATACAATTTTCAGTGGTTAAGATTTCTATCAGTGGACAACAAGATTCTAATTTCCTATCAGGTTTCAAAAATCAAACTTAGTAGATAAGACTATCAAGAACAAAATGCAACCACTACGGACTTTTTATTTTGACACTTTTTTCTCCAAGTAAATTGTTTTAGAAATAATTGATGATTAGTCCCAAGAGTCAAAATAAATGAACTGCCTATGTAGGACAAATATATTTATAAAGGTTAGTACAGGATCAGTTGCATTGTTTCCTTGATCCTAGAGATGACTTATATATATTCCCAAATAATCCAAGTTAATTGCATGAGCCACAAGAAAAGATATCAATGCTTGAAGCTTTGTCTTCGATATGACCTTACTTTTCTTTCTACCCTGTTAGGTTGTTGTCTTTAAAAAAAAGGCAAAGATCACTTATAGCCTAGGCAGTCGAGATTATATATTCACGGTAATTAACCATTTTACCTTATCATTTTAGTCCAAATAAGTGTCTATTTACATAATCAAGAAGGAATTAATTTTATTTTTCTAAAATTTATCATTGTTTACATATTCAAATGTGTCAAGGTAACAACTAATTGAAAATAATTTAGTTAATACTATCTTTTTTTCTCTAGGAGTTCGTATTTTCTTAATGGGTGTGCCAACAGTAAAATAGTCACTTATTGTGGACCAGAGGGAATATATTTTATAGTCGCGAAGTGTTATAAAATTTATAAATTTTTTGTATATAACATACAAAAATGTGTATATATACAATATATATATATATNAAAACGTAAAAAATAGCCAATGATAAATGGACGAATTCCACTTAAAGGGGACCACAGGAAATCGACAAATAGTTTTTTGTTTCCAACAGTTTTGTCAAGGGTGGTATCATGCAATAGAATATAACAGTAATAACATTTAATTTGTCCAAATAACGAAAAATCACATCTCTACAATATCCTCCCACCCCAGAACCACTTATGTTGAAACTTGAAAGGACAGGACCAAACTTCCCATTGATGATTTGTTTATAGCCTTTCACAGTTCACTAACTTAATCATTTGAGCTCAGCAAGTTATGGATCCCAAATGATAATTTGTTTTCTTGATCAATCTCAAAACTAATATCTACAGGACACTTTTGCATATATTTGATGCTAATGTATTAGATAAACTCTTTAGTTTCTTTTACTTTTCTGTCTATGTAATGTAAGAAAGAATACGATTTAAGTTATATACATCCGAAATATAACGATTATTTATGCTAGTAGTATAATTTAACCTATTATACACCAGGTTAGGTATGTTATTATTATATTCACCTAGTTACCAATAATGCTCATTGTAAAGAGTTACCTATAATTATCTTATAAGTAATCTGTTGTGTAAATATTTTTTACGCTTTCAGTTTATAAAATTGGCAGAATACATAGATAGACACTTTAACTATCACAGAAATTCCACTTGAACACCTCATCTAAGCCATTTTCCACCGGAACACTTTTACTATACCTTTACCGCACCATTTTAACACGTCCGACCTGAGCTTATAAAAAAAATTCACGCGTGTTATTACGCACTGCCAACATGGATAATGTAGCCAATGAAAAAATTTCATATTTTTTTACAATACCACATAGACTTCTTTGCCGGGTAAAATAAAATATAACTACCCTCTTCCTAATAACCCTCTCATTTTTACACATTAAAATATAACTACCCTCTTCCTAATAACCCTCTCATTTTTACACATTCCTAAAGACAAACGGCCAAAAAAACCCTAAGTCCCAAATTCGATTCCAGTAAAATCCGTCCAAAGCGATGCTTCCATTGATTCTGCTTCGTTTTTATTCGATATTCAGTGGTAATCGGTGTTATAGGTTGATATTTGTTTGATTTACCTTTTGTGCTTGAAGAACCATCATCAATCGAAGTGCTAAAATATTGAAGTGCCACTTGATACTCATCATTGAAGTGCTGAAAGGGTATGTTTTTTTAGTGTTTTGTATTGTAATCATTTTAGTGGTGGGCTTCTGTGCGAGTTGAGACCGATTTGGGACCACAATTAGTTTTTTTATAAAGGAATGTGGGAATATTAAAAACAATGATGTCAGACTTTATTGCTGTTAATTTTTACCATGGTGGTAACTTTACCCTTGACCATAACTCGAAATATGTGGGGGAACAGGAGGTGTTAATAGCTAATATTGACAAAGACCACTTTTCAATTCCAGATATATTATATTACACTAAAAAAATGGGATATGCTACAGTGGGTGGCTTCTATTACCAAGACCCGAAAAATAAGAATTTTGTCTATGTGCATAGTGATACACAATTATTTAATATTGTGTGTAACCTAGAAAATGGAGATGGGATACATTTGTATATTCAGCATATTGTTCTAGACCCTGAGTTAGTATATCCCATTGCATGGGCTGTGATAGACAATGAGTCAAAAGCATCTTGGAGTTGGTTTATAAATAACTTAATATATGATTTGGAGTTAGGAGATGGAGCTCGATTAACAGTTATGTATGATATGCAAAAGGTAATTTACTTCATCTCTACATTATGTTTTAATTTACTACTTCATATCAACTTTCTGTTTTAACTTTCTTAGTCATCTCTACTTTCTGTTTTAAATTTCTACTTCATCTCAACTTTTTGGGGGTTCTGTTTGATTCATTATTATTTTGTAGGGATTGGTACCAAGCATTCAAGAGTTACTACCAAATTGTGAGTATCAAATGTGTGTTAGGCACATATGGTCTAACTGGTCAAAAACTTGGAAAGGTGAGAAGATGAGAAAGCAATTTTGGAGGTGTTCTAAGGCTAGTTTTGAGGTGAAGTTGAAAGAAGAACTGGCTGCTTTGGAAAAGCTTGGAAAAGGTATATGTGAAAGCTTATTGAAGTATAACAAAGAGTATTGGTGCAGAGCTTTTTTCCTAGAAGACTCCAAATATGATATTGTAGAAAATAATATGTGTGAGACATTTAATTCTTGGATATTGTCACCTAGGCACAAGTCTATTGTTAGCATGATAGAGGACATTAGACATAAAGTAGTTAGGAGACATGTTGATATGATAAAGTTTGCAGAGACTTGGATTATAGACATTTCTCCTATGGCAAGGGTGATTCTAGAAGAAAATAAGGAGTTTTCTAGGAAATGCAAAGTTTTGTGGTTTGGAACTCATGGGTTTAAGGTTGATGAGTATGAATACAGATATATAGTGAACTTGAGGAGAAGAACATGCACTTGTATATCCTGGCAGTTAAGAGGGATCTACCAAGAAGAAGAACCATACAATTATGTGGATCACCGATATAGAAAGGAGATATTTCTCAAGGCATATCAATACTTTTTTGAAACAATCCCCAACATGAAGATGTGGTCTGACACTAATAACATGGTAATTGAACCTCCTCCACCAAAGCCAATACCAGGCAGCCCCAAAAGAAAATAAGAAAGTCCAAGAATGAGCCTAAGAAAAAGAAGTATGGCAAGCTCTCTAATCAAGGAGTTAAGATAAAATATTCAAAATGTCATCAAGCAGGCCATAACAAGTCTACATGCCAATCAAGGGTAAGTTGTAATATTTTTCACCTTTTTGTTCACTTCTAATGCTAACTTATATATGTGTTATAATTGAAATTTTTTTAGGGTAGAATGGTAGAGTCTACAAGTGGACAATCAACTCAAGCAACTCAACAAAGCCAAGGAAGTCCAGCAACTCAAGAATCTGTAGCAATTAATACAAGCAGCGGCATAGGAAGGAGAAATAACACTAGATTTGGCAGGGGTGCATTTCCAAATGCACCTCCAACAACTGCTCCTTGAAAACTTACTGTTGGAGTTAAAAGAACAAGGGGGTGAGGTGTTGAATCTATACCACCATCTGATGGACAGAAGAGGCCAAGAAATATTGGTTTTGGATGTTACACCAACCCTACAACTGGAATGACTGTCATTAATGTAAGGACTTTCTATTCATAACTTCAATTTGTTATTACTACCATTTTTGATGACTAATCTATATACTTTTATGTCAATTTCAACCTGGTAGTTCAGGTGAAAGAGTTGTATCATATGGGACTAAGGTTGTGAAGGATACCAATGCAGTCAATATTGATCTTGGTTTTAAACCTCCTGGGCTTAAGTTTAAAGGCAGAAATACAATAATTACTTCCCAGCTACAACAACAAAGTGCAAACAGGAGAAACCATATTGGATCTTCATCAACTACATCTTCAGTTGCAAGTCCAGCCCCTCCAGCACCATAGTTGTGTTAGGAATGTGCTATTTTGAGTTTGAGTTCGTGACTTTTCCTAAGTATCCAGACTTGGATTGATTATTGTGTCTTTTTTGGGTCATTAGTTGGCACTACTTTAAGATGTAAACACTTTAGTTGTTTGGAACTGTGACTGGTGTTGTAAATACTTTAGTTGTGAATGCAATTTAAATGCTATTGATAGCTTCAGTTTAAAGCATTCGTGTATGTGCTTTTATGAAGCATTCAATCCAAAGCATTCATAGTAGCATCAACAGCCTTTTGCATCATTTATGAATGCAATTGCAGTGCTTTTTCTGCATAAGTTGGATTGTATGTGCTTGGTAAATATGGAGGATGGTAGACTGCGATAGTTGTTTGTTATGACTTATCAGTTGAATTCATTTTACAACTTCAATATTTTAGTACTTTGAATTCCATATTTGAAACAGAGAACCAATACATAAAAAGCAATTGCAGAAAAATTGTTTCATTGAAATAAGGCCACTGGCCAAAATTACATTCAAACAAACTAGATACACCCAAAATATATCAACCACCATTACAAACACAAAATACAGCACCTAAGACACAAAATACAACAACTACTCCAACCACCAGACCACAACAACTACAACGATCGACGACACAGTAGCAAACCCAAATAATTAGCATTATTACTATAATATAAGCCAATTTCTTCCTCCATGTTATTACTCGAGCCCTTTCTTCTTCAAAAGTTTTGACCCTGTTTAGTAAACCCCAAATAACCCTATTCGCTTGGCTAGGAAACTCGTCGTCAACCCACCTAAAATAATTACATCCACCTTTGTCCTTCAAAAAAACAAATTCATTCAAACTAAAATCGGGAACAACATAGCAAAAATAATTAATTGTAGTTAATTATCACTTACCTTTTCAATTCTGCATCCATAGAACCTCCTTCCAGGATTAGATGGAGACCATGAAGTTTTTAATTGACATTCATGACCACAACGGCATGAATCGACTTTTGGTGTGAGAGACATAATTGAGAGCTTAAGCCAAGATTCGAACACAAACGGCGAGACAACTTTCAATTTGGTGAGAATAATAGAATTTTTAAACCAAAAAATCAAGAAAAGGGTGAAGAAATAGGGCTGGACTTTTTAGGAAAGGGTGAAGAACTAGGGCAGGTAAAAGGGGATGAGGGTTTAATTATATAATGGGAAAATGGTGTATTTTACTGTTTGCATTGTACCATTGAAATAGTTTTTGTCAACATATTTTTACTGTTCACGCGCTCAAGTAAAATTTCTGTGATAGTTAAAGTGTCTGTCTATGTATTCTGACTATAAAGTTTAAATTCTGAAATGTCAAAATGGTACAGGATTGCTTGACATTCATACATGCATACATACCAATTGGTGCATAAATTAAGCTCCAATAGGCAGATGAATAAAACACTTCAGCAAACACAAGAATGTCAAATTTACGAGGTCATATTCTTCAAATAGTTGTTGTAATTGGATGAGATATATTTATAAACAATAGAAGGGCACCAAGTAATGAAAATCCGACAATCTTTTACCTACCAAAATGAACTTGTAATAATTAAATGGTGCACCACTAGTTAAACATATAATGTTAGGTTATTAAGTATTATTTCCACTAACAAAAGTACAGTACGTGTCATCGTGATTAGTTAATTTGATACCATAAGATAAAATGCAAGCTTGTAAATTTATTAACAAGCATGTCGATCTTTCTCGTGTCCTGGGAATTTGTTTTACTTGCTCAATCTTGATATTATCTGCATAGAAAACTAGACATGACAAACAAACAAGCACACACATACACGCACACAAGAACTACATTTGTCTATGAAAAGTAAAACCTTGTCGAAAATCTGTCCTTAAAATCAGAAATACTGAGGTCTAGTCTCATTTACTCCGTCAGCTCAAGTTCATTATTTTTGGGGTTTTCCTAAAAACAAATTAAGAAGAATTTTTTTTTTTTGGGGGGATTCTTGAGTTTGATTTCCTGAAAAAAATCCTAAGGGGAATTTCCACAAAAACTTATGAACATAACATAAAAGAATAAATTGAAGAAAAGGAAAAAGAAGTTTAATAAGGAACAATATATAGTAGTAGTTCACAGAAATTTGGCTTCCATTAATGGGATAGAATTTTGTTGCCTTATTTGCAATTTGACACGCCTAAAGTTCAATTATCATATGTCATTAGAACCATCATTGTGTTTTAGTACTAGACTAGGAGTTAAAAAAGGAATTAAGAAGATAATCTAAAGTAAAAATAAAGATACAGAATTACCTGAGATAAATCAATGTCTTGACTAATATATCCTTGAGAAGTCAAGCTCAAATGAAGCCTTTTAATTTAATTTGTTTCTGTATTGTTGGTGAGTGATTGAAGCTGCTAGATGACCTGATGGAACCAAACCTATGAAAGACGATACCTATATTTTCTTTCAAGAAAACTTCGAAAAATTCCATTTTCTTTTCGAAAATATCACTTCAATTTCAAACCCAAAACAGGAAATTAAAAGACCTCAAAATTTTAAGAAAAAATGGACTTTCTTTTCTTTTCTTCTTTGCAAGAAAATATTTATATATAGAAAGAAATGGACTTTGTTCGTACCAGATCATGCTGGCAGCTTCAACCTCTCAAAAACCAACATACAAATATATACTTATAGTACTATATAACAAGAATGGATTCAAGAAAGAGCAAATAATGAAGAAAGGGTAATAGTCTATTTGAGGAAGCATTTTAAGGTATAAGAAGGAAGTGGGACTTTTGGTGTGTGTGTGTGTTATTGATGCCCTATGGCTGATGCAACACAAAATTAACACACACACACACACAAGAAGCATGCATGCTTTGGGTTTTGCAGAAAATGGATGGATGTCCCTCGTGAATCTCCCTTCCATCTACTACTCCTATATATATATATATACCCCTCTCTTTACTTTTTCCTTTTCCTCCCCTTCTGCATTCTTGTCACTAGAGGCTTTTAATGATTAATTTCAGTGGCGGATTTAACTTCTAAACGTTGTGAGTTTTGAGTTTGAAAGTATGATTTGCTCTCATAATACTAAATTCTACTCCCTCGGGTCACAATTTTATATTTGACACGCCCGTTAAAGAAAATATGAAACTGCTAGAGGAAAAAAGATATATTCACTAGTTAGTCTTAATTAATTATTACCTTGACACATTTGAGTATGTAAATAAGTATAAATATTGAAAAAATAAAATTAATTTCTTTTTGATTATATAAATGAATACTTATTTTAGATTAAAATAAAAAAATAAAATGGTTCGTTACTGTGGGTCGGAGTGAATGTAGTACCGAACTCATTGTTGGATCCATCTATTAATTGGTTTTTGCTAATTTCTTACAGCTGTTGATATTGACTTATTGCCTCCTTGCCTGAATGTTTATTTTTCTATTATTTTCTCTCCTTTTTTCTTGTCCTCTTCTTCCTTCTCTAGCTTCTAATTGAGTAATTCTTTTTTCAAGACTAATTACGTAATTTAATTTAAAGGAAATGGGAGAGGGGACCACAAATTAATCTTGTATGTGTTGTAGAAAACTACCCGTCCTATGTACCAACGAGCTTCCTTATATAGACAAATTAGGTTTAGTGGTCCATGTTTGATTATTATTTGGGTTAATTCTTCTATTATTAAAATTGAAAGGTAACTGTGCTATAGTAGATCTGAGTGAATTGCAAATTTGGACCACTAAGTTTATGGGGTTTTCTGGTTTAGTCCCTTAACAATTAGGGGTATTTGGTTATTATTAGAGAAATAATTTCTCTATCAAATTCTTCATTATTACATTGTTTAGTTGCTATTTCGGTATTTTGTTCCATCCGTTAATAGGTAGGATTCATGTATAATTTGTTGCGTGAATCAAACAACGTGTGCACAAACGACTCTCATTTTTGCGTTTATTGCAAATGTATATACTTTCATCGGAAAAGTAAAAGAATCTAATGCACTAATTCCTGTTCACAAAGAAATTTCACACAATATAGGAAACTCTAGCTAGATTTTAATGATTGATCAAAGATATTCTCCAAATTATATAGTAATGAGTTAATATACAAGTAGGGTCAAATGCAAGACAAGCCAACATAATGCATGTGCTGAAGTCAAAACATTTAATAGCAATCGTGAAATATCTAAAAATCAGACGATTAAAATATAATATTGTCTTAACAAGTACGATTAATAATTAACTCTAGGTGATTTTGGCTATAGCATGTATTAATTATTCTACGCCGATTATATTGTTTCCCATAAGTTAATATAAGATCTTTATTCTAGATGGTACATGTACTGAAAAACATTGTTCGTCCTTTCATCTAGTTGTATTGGTGACATGATTATCAAACCTAAAAAGAGGACAACCAGATTCATTAAAGAATTATCCCTTAAAATGAATTCACTGAAGAAAGAAACAATTACGGCTCAGTCCGTTGGAAATCTGAAATAGTTGATGGATTTGTCAACCAACAACAACCCGTGAATATCATGTTAGTGTTAAAGTTGTTATTTTTCAATGGTGAAGAAAAACGGCCAAACATTATTCGAGTGGAAAGATTATAAAAAATTGTCAAAAAATTCATCGAAAATAATGTTGGTGGGAGTGTGATAGAAATTTTTTTTAACCTAGACGTTTTTTCAACGGTTTAAGAGCTAGTATTGTGTGTTTACTTTATGCTTTGCATTATTTGCTTTGTTGTTCTATCACAAAGATGGCTGCATCATCAAGGTTATAGTTCCCAACGGCCTAATGAGCACGAATAAGTTGTCTAATTTGACAAATGGTGGAGCCAGAAATTTTAACAAAAAAATTCAAAAAACACTACGGTCTACTTTAATTTTTTTATATAATAGGGGATTCAACAAGCTAAGTTATTTATATACATAAAATTTTTAACCTATATATGCAATGTAATTTCATACTCAATCAAAGCCTCTTCACCCTACATAGCTTCGCTACCGTTTTTGATGGCTTGGTCACGAAAAATCATGAAATACTAATATCGCAAAAATTTTATATTTTGTTTACGGCTTTTGGTCTATATAAATGTCAACCGTCTAAAATTCCATGGAGAATACTCGTTTATCTTTTAGGGGGTGGCGGTTAGGTAGTATGTTCATTGTCCAATCGTAATTTGACGTTGATACTAGCTATATGAAACATTACTATTAGACACTAGTCATTTACCAATGAATTATTTCGTTGGACCTAACTAGAAACAGTTATATTTTTGTTGGGCGACTATAGCAAATAATAGGGACCGCTACTACAAATAGTAAACGAGAAAGTGGACCAAAGGTAGTTTTATACTACTATATTAATTGATGATCAAAGGGGGAGGTTGGGAAAGAGAGAATATAAACGGGCGCATGCGTTGCTGGTGGGCACATGGGGGCAATGTCTTTTACCTAGACAAACTCAAACCTTCAATATAATGCCCCTTCTTCACTTGTTGTTTTCAACAATGTGGCAACTTTTAAGAAAGACAAAATTTTAAAATGATTTCCTCTCTGATAGGTTTCTCTTTTGTGGCCCCCTTTTATAATTCAGAAAATTTCGAGATGAGGTGGTAATATTGTTTGTTAATTACAAAGTGTTGCAAGTCTTCCCACATTTTCACGTTACCTATACAAGGAGACTGTCTTGTTTAATTTTGATCTAGCTGCAAGTTAGTTAACTTTTAAAAAACGGATTAAATATAGATAAAAATTATATTATCCACTTAGAAAATAGATAATCAATGGATAACTAATGAGTTTAACTTTACATTTGTAAAACCTCAAATTGGAGGTTCCTTAAGTTTCAGATATTAGAAATTCTCCCAAAAGTGATCGTATTGAAAAAGTCATGGATAATATGGATTATGAATATCCATATTAATTATCCGTCAGTTAACTTATTTTTTATCTGTAATAAATATGGATCGGATCGAATATTTTATCCATTTTTACACACCCTTATCAGATCCGACCGTTTGCCACCCAACATAGTGATAATAGTAAAGGATGTAGTGGGTGATTGAGATACCTCCCTCCATAATAAAATAATTATCTTGAAAGTAGAGGATTTCTTGCTACTAAGCATTTTACCCCTGAGCACGAATATAAATTAGTTGGGCTATGAATTCCAAACGTACATCAGACGGTAGACATAGTGATAGTAGTATCACATAATTTAAAATTCAAAAATTGCATTTGCTTTATGTAAATTACATACTATTACATGTATGTATGTATGTATGTATGTATTGGTCAGGTTGGTGGAATCAAGTGAGGGCGTCCTTTTGTCTTTAGCTTTGGAGGTTCCTTCTGTCTTTGATTGATAAACATTGACATGCATGTAGACAGGCCCTAATGGAAGGGAAGGACCACAAAAACCTTTAATGCCTAATCTTATATTTTTTTTAGGGGTATTATTATTTTTAGCCCGCGTCAGAAATTATTTATATCTGATAGTCGAAAAAGTGTATAAAACTTGTATAATTTTTGTATATAACATACAGAATATATATATACAAATTTTATACATTTTTTCTGCTATTATTTTTACAGCGGCTATATAATGTCATTTTTTTTCTTTGCTTTATTGTTCTCCCAATTATTTGATTAATATATGGAGAGTCACATGGTTTTGCCTTGTAATTTAGCTGAATTGAGTTAAATCTTCATTTGATTAAGGTTGGGGAGTTAGGTGGTTGTGAATAAAGCTGTCCGTGTTTATTATAAGGCTTCTCCTTTTCTTCTCTTTTTTGCCTTCACAAAGAAACAAAACATAATAAATTAGGGTTTCTTTCTTTCTATATTCCCTATGTTTATGGGTCACACTAGTCTTGAAAATTATTTATAGATAGGAGTTTTTAGGTTTCTTCTGTTAATTTGTCCAACAGTACGTTTTAATTTGTTTTTGGTTAGCAGAGGGTGGTTCAAATTCATTCGTTAGATTTTCATTATCTCTAATTTGTGTAGCCACTAATTACAAGCTTATCTAATTTGAATACTAAAAAATTTCAAATGCTTTTCATCTAAGCAATAGTGGGGTCTCTTTTGTGTGATAATGTCTAATTATGTTTCTATGATATGTGTATTATATTATGCACTTAATAATATTCACACAAAGTAATTTGCCTTTTAATGTGCTATGGTCATGGCAAACATGTTTCTCTGATTTCCATTAATGAAGTTATAATTATGGACAAGAATGACTAATGACATGATTACTACTTCCAATTAGACAAATGCTTCTTTAATCACAAAGAGGGATATGTGTCACAACCCGCATTTTGGGTTGTGACTTCATTCGGAACCGGTGAGAAAAGGTCCTTTTGATTCTCTGACGTAGACCTGTCTACTCAGAAAACTTGAGTTTTTTAATTTTAAGCATATATAAGGGGGTATAGGTGTTGAAAGCTCAACCTGCCTTCCCCATGCGTGTTGCCACCAAGCCGTATCAAATGAGCGATCTTGAGGGGGAACCTCAAGGGCCTGCCTGGACGACTCAAAGGAGTGTCATAGGTATCCATATGAGTTAGGGAACTCTATGGGACGGCGCGACGCCTCCGGGTTAGCGTTGGGCACCAAACGGGCGCTGAAGGCTAGATATGTGCAACAGGTATGCCCCGTGGGCTGCCGAATGATGGATTGATACCTCCGTGCCGATTGGATACTTGATGCACCTATCTTAGGGGCCTCATGTGTCGACTTATAAGCATAGCTTGGGTTCAACTATGCGAGCAAGGGTCCGTTGGTCTAAACGTGCAGTTGTGGGGCAACACTGCACTATTCGGGATGGAAGTGTGTCGCGAGAGCTATGTATGGGCATGCCACGAAAGACGCACATAACAATGGCCAAGGACTAAAGGTTACCTTACTCGGGCGAGGCGCAAGCTGGGTGCGGATGCACGAGGCGAGTGTCAAGCTTGAGGATTAGGTTGTGCACGCGAGAGCGATGCTCAATTCTAGGCGAAGGTCAAGACATGTCCTTAGCCTACCCCAGGGCGCGCATGGATTACGATCCTAAGATGAGAAGCGTCACAGTTAGTCGAGGCCAAGAGCCTAGACATCATGCGGGCGGCACAATTGGAGCAGGCCTTCTAGGCAAGCTTCACCACGGGCACAAGATCGTGCTTGAAAAACCTGAGAAAAGGAAAGGCTGACCTGCAGCGAGGGGAACTGCTGGCGCCGCACGGGCTATTCAGTGCCGCTGACGAGCGTAAGAAAGTCGGCCCGTGACAATATGTCTCTAGTTAATGGAAGAGAGGTAGTAATTAAGGATTCAAGTTATATGCACCGACAATTTTAAAGACTCATTCCTTGCGACGCAACAATTATTGTGCCTCAATTCCAAGCTAGTTAGGATCAACAATATAATTCCTGGCGCAACAACTACTATGCCTCAATTCCAAGATAGTTAACAATATAATTCCTCTCTATCCATGGCAGCTTTGTGTAACCAATCTCAATATTTAAAATTTTAGGTTTTCTAGCTCCTAAAGTTATAAAATCTATAACAAAACTAATACATTAAAGTAGACTTACCAACATGACTCAAAACGTAACTCCAATTAATTAGAATTACCTTATGGATTTTTTTTCTTCAACTGTGCCATATTTCTTCGCGAAAAGGTTGATCATTTGTATGAAATCTCAGGAAAAAAAGAGAGGAGATCTTGCTCATATTTACATAGTATATCAAGGAGGTTATGTACCACAAATCCAAAAGTAAGATAGACCATTTGTACTCAATCCCCTACTAAATCCAAAGGAGACCAGCATCCTCATCATTCAACCATTCTAAAAGCCATTTCATTATCTTGAAATTAGTATATACATTAAAACATGTGTTATCAATTAAGGATAATACCAAATAACAGATGAAAAAGCTTAAACAAGTCTAAGCACCCATGTAACATGCTTTCCTAACAACCACATAACCTTTTTCCAGCCTTTTTGTTGGGGAAGAGGGACCAAAAGTAGTACAAGAAAATAAATTATTAATAGACCCCTCTGGACGCTTCAAATCATCTAATTACCAAGAATTTTTGAATTCAAAATCCAGCACAAGGCCTGGATATTTTAAATGCAAAGTGTAGAGTTTCTGTTAACACTTTTTGCCCGGGGAGTAGGAATATAGTCAAACTCAAGTTTTTATATCCAGTTCAGAATAACACATGCATATGGGCATGTGCTCTAGCAGGTCCAGCATGTGGCAACTAAAACTATACAGCTAGGGATTGAAAGAAACATAGTCAACTTTACACAGGCAAATGAGGCTACCCTTCATGCCATCAACAGGTACCTCAAAAAAGGAAAATAAACGTGCATGGTTTAGACTCCAACATAAACTTTGGGATTGGTCTGCTTGAGATGACTGACTACTTCTATCTGCATCCCCTTTAGTGGTAGGGATGTGTGAGCAGGAACGCCGAATGGGACGGAGAGATGAAAAGACAGAGAATTGAGAAACATGAAATGCACATTTTGTACAACAACATTACCCAGTGTGATCCCACTAGTGGGATCTGGAGAGAGGATGAGGTGTACGTAGACCGTACTCCTATGAGGTGTACGTACACCATTGAGCNCCTCGTGTGATACCACTAGTGGGGTCTGGGGAGGGTGAAGTCTACACAGACCTATACAATTGTGCTAATTTCTTCTATTTCTTGAATTAAACTTAATGAAGCATGAATTATTTTCAATCTCCACTATTTTCTATTTTAGGCCAACCTTGATCGGCTTGAGACTTCACAAACTCAGCTAAAAGTTTAATTTCATCATCTTGCAAACGAGGGCCAAACGTGCATTGACCCCTCGGTGTACAATTCTGACCAAATCCCTGCAAAGCCAGATGGCACATTATGGTCCACCACATAGCAGCATAAAGATAACATGGTTCTGAACAGTGAACTTACTGGCATTCTCCCTTTGCCATAGTAAGTGAGGCGATAGATCTCCTCTTCCGTGTCAACTCCATTTCTAAACAGAAAAATAGCTAGTTCAAGGATGGCCATGTTGTTTTTCCAAAATGATATGACAAATTGCACCTAAACTATGCATAAAAACAACTGACAATGAACCGAATAATATACACAGTGCGACAATGAGATCTCAAAAGTTAAGATGAAATAACCTATTATCTATACAAATTTGGTTTTGGATAAACTATGTGAATGCAGATTCAAAAATTTAACACAACAAAATAACATTAGTAGTTTCAATCTTAGCTAACATATGTAACAGGATAATTAGTTTGCACATAAGTTCTGCTTATACGAATATCTTAATATTCAGTTTACCTTTTATCATATGTTTCCTCACAAGAATTGACATGTTCAATGAAATCTTATGCTCACAAACGTTTGACCTGCTAAGCTTTAGAATGGGAAGGGAAAGGGGAAGGGAGAGAAATTATCTTCAGCCAACAAAGAGCCTTTCATTTAGAGCCATTTTAAATTAAAAGGTTAATGGTGTACATGCGCACATTTCGTGAAAATAGAGGAAGTAGCATATGAACTCTTCACATTCTGAACTTCCAGTTGCTGTGAATATCTTATAAGCTTACTTGCCATCTCTTGTTCTGGCACCGGGTACAGAAAATTAGACCAAACAGCTGACAGGTAAATTCATAAGTATGGTAATACTTTTTTTTCCGTTGAAATGGGTAACAGTAAAGTGTGGTAATACTTTTACTACAGTTTAAAATTAAAGCATCTTTTCCTTGAACTTCTGGTTTCAATTTAGATATGTAAAATTCTAAGGAGCCGCGACATGCTAGAAGAAGTTACAACCAAAACTAAAATCTTATGGATGGACTTTTGTCTTTTACCTTTCTAGATCCTTTAAGAAGAGTGTCGCACCCTAACAATGAAAAAGGAAAAATAACTAAGGTGAGCTGCAAAATTTTTGACGCCTATTGGAATCACGAGGCAGGTAATACTCACAGGCTGGATTATATTTCCACCTGCATAATGACACCCAATGCAAGCTTTATTAAACAAAGCAGCTCCCTTTTGTACATCTATTGTTTGTCCAACTGAGACTGCAAATAAAAATACAATAAAATAAAATAAAGGGGAGAAGAGAGCCGAAGAAACAGGTAAAAGATGGATTATGTTTTAAGATTAAAAGGCCCAGTACTGAATATCGACTGCAAACATATTGATATCAAGGAATTACTTCTTGCGACCGATATCAGATGTGGAATCAGCCCTGGATCTATGTTTCCAGCATACTAATATCAAATAAGGAAATATAATCAAGTCACTTTCAAAAGGGACCTCCAGAAAGTAGAGACTATAGTCGCCATAAATAATATTGTATTTACTGTCCAGTGCCTGTAATTTATGTAAAACATAATCAGACCATCTTAGGCGACCTTCTCATTTTGTCCTCTACGTGAGAGCTTCCTGCATCGTCCATTGGATGTGATCATTTCTAATATTGAATAAATATTTCATTTATTCTTGACATGGCTAACATGGTCAAACTTTTGTGAGAATTTTCATGTGGATTTTTTTCTTGGTTCAAGTTTTAGGCAAGGGGTGGGGATGATCAACACTTGCAATCTGTGTCTTGTATAGGTTATATAATAGGCAAGTGTTTACTGAAATATTTTTACCACAAATAGCATAAGTTAGAACATTTCAAGTGTTGTAAGAACATTCATCAACTGAAAATTACGAGCATGCTAGCTACGTGGATTCCCCTGTTTGGAACTATTTATTTTCCTCTCTTTGCTATCTCATCCACTAACTAGCCCGCGCTTTACTTGCGCTTTGTGCTAAACCATCAACAGATCTAAATGCTTTTTGTAAGATTTTGCCTTTGATAACACTGGCGTATAAGTTATAGTATCCGTTATATGATCTTGACCAAGCCTCACCACTTGAGTTACCTTATGGAATTAAGTTAGACCTAAAGCTCATTTTTCTCATCAGCACTGCTGGCACAGATATGACATTGAAGTATGCGAGCAGTTGAGGAAGGAGATCAAAAACCTAATTCATTAGGGCTTTTTAGCATATGTTATGACCAGAGATAAGAAGCAATCAGTAGCTTCACCAAGTAGACAAGATGAGGTTCAGCCAAATGAGAAATAACTAAATAACCGAAAAGATCACATAAAAGAACGATTATATCAGATATGAGTTTTTCGCAATGGAGTAAAGGGTAAACCAGGCTACTCTTCAGACAAACCGTAGCCAACGTTCCAGTTCATTCTCCTTCAAAACCTATGCTTTAAGACCACAAGTTGATGTTGTCGCAATAAAAATATGTTAAGAGTTATAAGGCAAGTTACAATCTCATTAAGATCTCGCTAATCCATAGACTATGTTTGGAAATAATATTTTCATCAAACACAACTCAAGAGAGATAAGGCCGTGGACTCTCATTGGCAAAATCCATGCAATATGTGAGGCGCACCAAGTACATCAAGTCGAGACATCATCTTTTATGCGCACAACACACGTCAACTTAAGCTATCATATCATCCATATACCACAGGCGTTGAATCAAGATTTCATCTCCTCCATGCATCATGCCTGTCATATCAAATTTCATCTCCTCCATGCACTTGATGTGAGAGTTGAGGTTCTTTGCAAAGGCTTTCCCATCATGCCAATCATCTTCTTATTGCAGCATAGCGTGTGAAGTAATAAAATCACGCGAATCCCTTAATTGGTTGGGTTGCGTCACCTTGCCAAGTCCCTTAGTCAGACAGGTTGCACGAATCTCACACAAATCACATATTAGAATGGATTGCATCAATTAACATAATTTCCAAACTGGATAAGTCTAATGTGTAAGTTTCATTGTTGTAAGCCGCTTTATCAGCAGAGTTAAGAGTTGCGAGTGCATCAACCGAAACAGATTTCGGTTGTGTGACAACAGAAATGAAGGACAAAATAAACATGCTTTGACATTTCTTTGCCGAAAGGTCCACCATGCAGGGAAATAGGTAGATTCTCAACTTTATGCTATCTTAGTTCGGTCAAGCAGTAAAACAATCCCCATGACGTTATCATGCTAGATCTAACGGTAACTTCCCAAGTGACTGTGTACCGCTACTTAAAGTTGATAGTAAAAAAAGGCTTTCGGATAAACATGCAAAATGAATGGTTTAATCACATCGACTGTGTAAATACTTTTGCAGAGACAGGATGTCAAAAGGTTAGACGAGGATTGTACAGAAGTCAAGAAGAATCAGGAGAGGTGCCATTGTTAAGGCTCAAATCCTTCTAAAAGAAAGCTCTCGAAATCAAGGCAGTGCAGCTGTTATTATACCCTAATAATGATTGTTCTAATTCCATCAATGTTCAGTAAGTAGGGATGATTTTATGTGATTACGTCTGCTTGTGCAAACTAATAGCCTGCTTGGCCAAGCTTCTAAAACCAACTTATTTTGAGAAGTGCTTTTCAGAAAAGTACTTCTGGTGAGAAGCAACTTGTGTTTGGCTATTTAATGTGAAAAACACTTTTGAGCAGAAATTAGCGTTTAGCCAAACTTTTAACAAGTGCTTCTAGGTGTATTTTTCTCAAAAGTACTTTTGAGAAGAAGCTATTTTCTTCTGCTTCTCTTCAAAAGCACTCTTTTTTCCTTCTAAAAGCTTGGCCAAACACCTTAACTTTGGAAAAAAGTACTTTTGGCCCAAAAAAATTGACTTGTGGCCAAAACGAAGCTTAGCCAAACAGCCTATAAGATTGCACCTAGAGTGCCTTATATCTGGTTTAATAAAAGGTTCTCACATATACTTCTATTCATTAGGTAGTCCGTCACCACTGATTATCCACACCTAAATGACCTCTGTCTCTTATCATAACCTAGTAGCGCACAAACTATCTGTAAAACCTTGCTTAATCGGAAAACGTGAATCGATTGGTGCCGTAAGAGTGGTAAATATGAAGGGTTTTCTGCAACTCAAATAGGCTCGTTCTGCAGTACTAAACAATAAATAAGATTGGCAAAAAGATATGTTAATTATTAAGGAAATCATTATGTATGAAGTAGTTAACTTTTTCTCTTATTACATATGTATTTTTATTATTTTCTTCATTGCGCTTTGCGCTTAAAGCCCAATAGACCTGGAGCAGTAGAGCATTTTTTATCGCTTTTCGCCTTCGACAATACTGTTGGTGTCATCCCTTGAAGTAAATAATACTCCACGTAGACGTGTTGTCTTTGGCCCCTAATGGTAACCCCTACTTCAAGATTGACTGGTAAAACAATAGGACAGTGTTAGAAGAAATGATTCTGTTTCCAGCTATATGGCTAGTTGTCTCAAAATAGTAATACATGCAAGATGGATAGCAAAATAACGAGAAAACTAGGTTCTCAAGAAAGACAGATGAATACTTCTATCAACAAGAGTATATATATATGACAAAGACAAGTTTCCTTTTTGCTAGGAAGAGACAAGTACCAATTGAAAATACTCTACCGAACACTATTCTATATGAGAACACTATAAGCCAAATGAGCATCCTACAGAAGGAGAAGTGAGATACTGCACAAAAATATAATACTAGTCGTGGATCCAGGATGAAAGCTAAGCATACATTTTTATCACTAATGGATATCCATAGATTAATTGCAGTAACATGCATTTTCATGCTAGCATTTAATAGAATAATGAAGACTCTCAATTTCAGAAGATTTAGCATTATATCGCATACAATCAGGAGAAGAAAAGATTTCCTTTCAAGGTAATGAAAAGTAATTGGTAGAATGATCAATTCGTCTCTTTGATCCAATAAGTGAATTTCGCAAAAGAAGTTAAGGTTATTCAACTCCTCGGCTGAAATGGAAAACAACAGAACTAATTGTACATCTGACCCTAAAATTTGTTTTCTTCTGACAAGTTCTAATTAGATCCTCCATTAACTCTCCTAATTACAGCATAAAAAACTTAGATACTGTCTAATCATGAAGCAAATAAAGTATTTCCAATTCCATCTTTCTTATTACTTCTCCTCCAAAATTAAATTCCAGGTCCTATAGCTTTATCCCTTTTCCCTTAGTTATTAATTGTTTGTTTTCTTAAAGCTTTCCTTTTACCTTTTAGCTGTGCTGGTAGACAGGAACTAAAAAGAAAGGTCACTCAAAAAAGAAAAAAATAAAGCAGAGTTTGTGAATAAACTAAAATATAAACAATTGATAAACAGCACACAATTGTGCAATATCTTGAAACAGAATCAAGAATCATAATAATGAGAATATCAAATATTTGAGTAGCAATATTTTTGTATCTTACTAGATCAACTTTTAAGATAGAAATACAAAGTGCTAAGCGGAAAAAAACAGTAAGCACAATTACCTGGGGGATTGACAATGGGAGAGAATGCTATAAGGGCAGTCATTAGAGGTGGAGCTAAGCTCTTCAGCAACTTCACCTCATATGAGTATTTGTTCTTCTTTTCGCCAATTTGGTTGTCTCCTTCATACACATTTCTCTTCTGTAAATAATTAGTAATAAAACGCTGCTTATATACCCAAAGAAACAAAGAAGAAGAATTGAAGAAATATAAAGAAACACACTGCATTTTTCTTTTTTGCAGTTCTATTAGGGATTCCGGAGTTGTACCTTAGTTGGTGTTGCCAAGAATTTTATGGAACAGCTCTTGCCAACGCAAGTGGGCGTCATAGAGAAGACTGACATTTTTTCTTGGGCTTTGTGAGGGAGGAGGCTTCTTCTTCTGTTGACACTTGGATTTTTAGCAGTGTCATTTTGGATTGAGTAAACTGCATTTTTGGTACATAATGTTTTGGGAAAGTTTAATTTGCTCCTTAAATGTTTTATTTATTTTAATTCCGTCCTTAGTGTTCTGAATTGAAGAAAAAAGAATTACAAGTAGGGGTGTCAATGGATATTAAAAAATCGACTAAACCAATCGAACCGTACCGAACTGATTTTTAGATTTTTTTAATAAAACCGTACCGATAACTAGGGTATATTTTTTATTTTATAAAAATAAACCGAAAAAATACCTTGTGCCTTGGAATTGTGAAAACGGTTACAAACAAACAAGTAATTAAACTCAAAATCTTAATTCTCAAACCTATAATGCTACTCCTATTGAAACTAAATTATTTCCAACATATTCACTAGCAAGACACAAGTTATTCTAGCGATTAGTAGCAAACTACAATATATTGAATATATTTCCGTTCATATGATTTATATTTAACTTTTTGAATATTTAATCTTTTATAGACTTTACTCTTGAGTTCCAACTTGGTTAATATATTTTCATTCGGTTAATATCTTTGTTTAGTTTCTTTTACGCTGTTGTAGAATAGTTGATGGATCTATACTCTGACCATCTTTAATATTTTCTTAATTCATCACCCTTTAAAGAGTAAAAATATCTAGAGAGTTTGCTAAGTCCTATAAAAGTACGTATGCTATTGCATTCTACTTTTATTAGTGATTTTTACATGCTATTTTAAAAAAAATACCGAAAATTAACCGAACCGTACCGATACCGAAGAGAAACTGACATGATTGAGATGGGTTCGAAAAGTCTAATTTTGGTTATGCATAATAGAATAACCGAAAATTGATATGGTACAAATTTTAGAAAATAACCATTCGAACCGAACCATTGACACCCCTAAGTACAACTAGTAAGTGCTTTGTTAACTAGTCCCATTTTTAGCTACGTTGCCTATCATGTTTCTTTTCTTTTACTTTTTTTTTAGTTATGTTTAATTTTTAGATCTTCTATTTCTTTATACTTTTTCTTATTGAACATAAAAAGCATTGTCTTAACTACGTGTATATCTAGAGAAATTATCACAAAAAGATTCAACTTCTCAACACGATATACGTACAAAACACAATATACAAACAGTTGAATGCACAATATATTTTGCTATGTTAATATTTACTTCTCGAGAAAAATCACCACACAAGACTCAATTCTCAATAGATTATTGTTTACCCGTAAAAACGGATAACAATTAAATTTGTAAGTAGTTTTAAGGATACGTGATCTAACTTGATACAAAATGGTAAATCTGATTGTAATTGAAATAAGCAATGGAAAAGTAAATGCAAACCACACAAGTTGAACAGTCTTAGCCTTGGAATGTTAGCTACTCTCGAGCCAGAAGTGCTTTAATCGATATTAGAACAACAAGAGAATAATAAAAACTTAAAGAGAATAATAATATATTGCTTTGGGATGCGTGTTAATCTATCCAATGAATAATCAAACCCCCCTTTATATAGTAGAGGAATTCTACTTTAGGTACAATTATATAAAAGGTGAAAGATCTCTTGATTCACTGATTGCCGGTTCCGTATTGATTCGTATCGAGATTCCCGCTGTAATATCCGACTAGTCACGGATATTTCGGGATTCTGTTAGTTACCTTAACAATGTTTCTCCGAGATCGTTCGAGGTTAAGGTCGACACAGGACTTAATGTTCCTCGAAGGCAGTCTTTTCGACTTCGGGTTCTAGCTCGGTGGGACTCAAGGTCAATCTTCAGTCCTTGGTCGCCATGTTCCAAGCCCAATCTACCAAGTTATAGTCCAGCTCAACTTCGATCGTATACATATAGTCCCCTCATTTTTCGAAGAGTAGACGGCGAGAAATGACATGAACTTCCGAACCTGACTTCAATATTTTATGACAGAAATGACAAAACAGTAACGTCTCGTCAGTCAAGTCTTAATGGCATTAAATATATGTCAGTTGTCGGTCGGCCACTCCCAGATGTGAACAATCATTGAGAAACTATAAATACCCCTTATTAGTTCATTCAAACTTTACTTTCAAACCTTCTGCCCTCGTATCTTAGAAATTTCAATACTTCCAAGCGTTAATTTTCTGATTACTCTGAAATCCTTTTATAAGAACTTCTACTCTTTATCCCAAACCATCAAGCTTACTCTTACAACTTCCTCTTTTTCCTTCATTTTCCAAAGAAATGGCGAAGACTTCAAAATCCGTTCCTCAAAAAGAGAATCCTTCCACCTCGCGACCAGCTACCGAAGAGACCACTTCACGTACAACTGTCGATGAACCAGCACCGGAACCTCCTCTAAATGTTCATCCCGGGGGATGCCCGGTCAATGCTGATTTTAAAATCGAAAAGTGTGATTACCCAAAATATCATCTTTAAATTTAATAAGAAATTCTATGTTCTAAGACCTCAAAAAGTACAATTTATCATTCCTCGACTTGCGTGCGCAGTTCGTAAAATTTTTCGGAAAGTTTTCATATGAAAGATGAATTAAAATGTGAAATAGAGCTTTAAAACTCAATTGAGTTGACTTTAGTCAACATTTTTAGCAAACGGACATGGATCAGTATTTTGGTAATTCTGGTAGGTCCATATCGTGATTTGGGACTTGGGCGTATGCCCGGAATCGAATTCCGAGGTCCCTAGCCCAAGATATGGAATTTTGATGAAAAATTAAAAGCTTGAAAGCTTAATAATTTTTAAGAAACTGCTGATGTTGGATTTATTAACCTCGGGTCCGTATGTTAGTTTCGGAGCTCGGTATAGGTCCACTATAATATTTATGACTTGTGTGCCGATTTTGGTGAGAATCGGAGTTAATTTGACGAGTTTCGGACGCCCAGTTGTAAAGATATAAGTTTTAAAATTTTCTTAAAAATTTTCTTTGATTTGGTGTCTGATTCGTAGTTCTTGGTATTATTTTGGCGATTCGATCGCGAGAGCAAGTTCGTATGATATTTTAGGACTTGGGTGCATGTTTGGTTTGGAGCCCCGAGGGCTCGGGTTGGTTTAGGGTGGTTAACAGATCATTTTTGGACATGAGGAAAATGCAGAAACCTGCTTCTGGTTTCCTTCTTCGCATTCGCGAGGGGAGTCTCGCGTTCGCGAAGAGCAAATTGGGGCTGTCACATTTTGTGCTTCGTGTTCGCGACAGAGAAAACGCGTTCGCGAAGTCTTGGGATGCAAAGCTTCGCGTTCGCGATCGAAGCCTCGCGTTCGCGAAGGGAAAGAGACTGGCCAGGTCAATTGCCTTCGCGTTCGCGAAGGGCATCTCGCGTTCGCGAAGGCCAAGCCAGGCAAGCTTCGCGTTCATGAAGTAGCCCTCACGTTCGCGAAGAGTAAAAGTTGGACATCACAAAGTTGTACTTCGCGTTCGTGAGAGTACCTTCGCGAACGCGAAGGGTAAAAATCCCAGAAACAGAACTTAAGTTCTGAAAATGGGGTTTCGATTCATTTTCAACTCCTTCCCATTTTTGAGCTCGGTTAAGGCGATTTTTGGGCGATTTTCATGGGAAAACATTGGGGTAAGTGTTCCTTATCCTATATTGATTATATTTCATGATTCCATACTCGTTTATATCATGAATCCGTGGATTTATGGAAGAAAAATAAGATTTTTCTAAAATCTTCCAAAAACGAAAATTTAAGATTTGAAGGTCCATTTGACATCGGAATTGGATAATTTCTGTATGGTTGGACTCGTCTCGGAATGGGTGTTCGAATTTCGTAAGTTTTTCCGAGATTTGAGATGTGGGTCCCTCTGCCGAATATTTTAATGAATTTCGGATTTTTATCCGAAAAATTAGTAAATTCATATGGAATTAATTCCTAATATTCGTATTGAATATATCGAATTGTTTGTGAATAGATTTGAAGCTTTTGGAGATAAATTTAAAAGGAAAAGCTGTGGTTGAATAATTGATTGAAATTTGCAAAACGAGGTAAGTGTCGTGGTTAACTTTGACTTGAGGGAATAGAACCCTTAAATTATTTGTTATGTGAATTGCATGTGAACGACGTATAGGTGAGGTGACGAGTGTCTATACATCGTCAAATTAATTGTTTGCCTGCTTACTTGAAAAATCATAAATTATTTTAAATCATAAATTAATTATCATAATAATTGTTTCTCTCCTATTCTTTGTCAAATATTAATTCTTGAATTCCTGCATTAATTGTCACATGTTATTTGAATTACATGTTTAATTGTTATTTGACATTTAGCATATTAAATATTAAACTGCCTATTTTCTCCCTGATTCCCATAATAATTTGCTATTTGTCATTGTTTGTTTCATGATTAAATCATAATTATTGAATGCTTGTTGTCTTATAATTTTATATTAATTGTTACATTTATTAGAAAAATTTCTTCTATAAGAGCTGATAAATGAATATGTTGGAGGAGCGGGTTGCACGCCGCAATATGATTGAATATATTAGAGGATCGGGTTGCACGCCAGAACAGACTTATTAAAAGTCCATATTAGAGGATCGGGTTGCACGCGCAACAGACTTATTAAAAGTCCATACTGGAGGATCGGGCTGCACGCCGCAACAGACTTGATTAATGTGAATATATTATGAGAGAGGGTTGCACGCTGCAAAAGAATTGAGTGTGAATATATGGTAAGAGCGGGTTGCACGCTGCAACAGAATTGATGGAAATGATAATTGGTTATGACTGCTGAGTTGGCTTCAATTATAATAAATGAGTTACCTGAATTATTTCTATTATTGTTGTTGTTACTAATATTACGTACAAGTTAATGTAAGTGACCCACCTTAGCCTCGTCACTACTTCGTCGATGTTAGGCTTAGCACTTACCAGTACATGGGGTCGGTTGTACTGATACTACACTTTGCACTTTTTGTGCAGATTTTGGAGTTGGTCCCAGCGGCGTACCGTAGACTTGCTCGGATTTCAGCTACCAGAGGAGACTTGAGGTATAACTG